CTCGCGGCGACGAAGGCGCGGTTCGCGAGCGAGCGGGGCCGCCGCGACAGCGACCGCAGCGAGCTCACCGTCGACTCGTCCTGCCCGGACGCCGACGACGACGGCGGGCCCGCCTGCTACAACTTCCTCAACCAGGGTGGCGATGATACCGTCGGCTGCGTCATGTCCGCGCCGAGCCTCAACGCCGCGCTCTTCGGCGACGCCGACGACGACGACGGCGGCGGCGGCGACGGCGCGCGGACCGACGGCGGCGACCAGTGCGCCATCTCCTAGCGCCGCGCGCGACAGGACCCTCTTTTGTATGTTTTCTCGATCTTCACCGAGGCTTCAACGTGAGTGGGTGCCGTGCGACAGCTTCCGCCGGAGCGTGTCGAGCCTCGCGTCGCCCGCGCCTCCGCGAAGCGCCGCGACACGATCGTCGCGGCCCTCGGGCGCTTTAAAAAAACGCGCAAGCAGCAGCGAAAGCGCCGATAGCTTTTTGCCGAGTTCCGCGCCCGCAAAGCTCACTCAAAAGACCTCACCGCGCCGCGCACGCCCGCGAGCGCTCGCCGCGCCGCGCACGCCCGCGAGCGCTCGCCGCGCCGCGCACGCCCGCGAGCGCGCTCGCCGCGGCGCGCCGCGCACGCCCGCGAGCGCGCTCGCCGCGCCGCGCCAACAGCGCGCCGCGCCGCGCCAACAGCCCGCCGCGCCGCGAAGGACGCCATGTCCGCCCCGGACTTTAGCCGCGGGACTCTCATCCAGTGTGACGGGCCGACGCGCGAGTTCGTGCTCCACCTCAACGAGACGCACAACTTCCTCCTCCAGGAGCTCGACGAGAAGACGCTCCTCATCGACGGGTCCTTCTCCGCCATGGTCCAGGCCGAGCTCGCGAAGAGCCTCGAGCGGCACGTGTTCTCCACGAAGAACAAGGAGAAGGCGAGTTAAGAGTCAGCGTCCCTAGTCGGGCGCCTCGAGGGACGCGGCCGTGAGGAAGTAGACGTGGACGAGGCTCCGCTTCGCGTCGCGGACCTGGCACACGTCGCGCATGGACTCCGTCACGCGGAGCTGCTGCTCGTCGACCTTGGCGACGCCGCGGCCGCGGGCCCGCGCGGCGTCGAAGAAGCCGAAAACCGCGGCGTCGGCCGCGTTGCCGTGGAGCGCGAAGGCGACGACGGCCGTCGCGTCCGCGTTCTCGTCGAAGACCGCGTCGAGCGTCGCGAGCAGCGCGCTCGTGCGACGCCGGGTCGTAGATGCAGTCGCAGACGAGGACGACGTCGTAGGGCCCCGGCGGCGGCGCCTCGCCCCAGGCGAGGCCGCGCGCCTGGAGCGAGCCGCCGTGGTCGCGCGCGGCCGCGAGCGACCACCGCGCGGACGCGGCCAGTGCAAAAATGGCGCCCGGCGTCCGGTTGTCCGTCGCCAGCACGTCCGCGCCCGCGCGCACGGCGGCCAGCGACGGCAGGCCGCAGCCCGCGCCCAGCTCGAGCACGCGCGCGCCGCCGAGGTCGACGTCGAAGAGCGCGCCGTGCGCCAGGATGCGCGCCGCGCAGTACTCGCCCGCGGCCCAGACGACGTCGCCGTGGCCCGACGCGTGCTGCGAGCTGTGGTAGACGAGGGGCGTCCGCTCCCAGGCCCTCGCGTCCGACAGGTCGAAGAGCTTCGCCCACTCGGCCCAGTCGTCGTCGGGCTCCGGCGCCGCGGCCGCGGGCGCGCCGTCGTCGTCGTCGCTCGACACGCCGAGCAGGGCATCGAGGCCGTCGACGTCGTCGTAGGCCTCGAGCTTGGCCGCGAGAAGCGCGGCCTCGGCCGCGAGCCACGCCGCGTCGTCCGAACCGACGACGTCCGCGAGGCCGCGGGGCAGCCGCGGCGCCGGCTTCGCTGGCGCCGCCGTCGCCCGCTGCGCCTGGCGGCTCGCGCGGCGCTGGGCGAGGCGCGACGCGCTGTCGGACCGCTGCGTCGCGAGCTGCCGCTCGCGCTCGCGCTCCTCCAGGTCGTGCTTCGCGGCGAGGACCGTCAGCAGCTCCTCCGCCGCCTGGTCCTTTTCCAGGCGCGCCTGCTCCTCGGGCGAGAAGGACGCCATGTCAGCTGTCGGTCGAGCCTGTGTGTCCCAAATCCCTCCTTAACAAAGCTCGAACTCGACGCCCTCGCGCTGGTGCGGCTTCAGCGCGTCCGCGAGGCCATCGCTTTGTGCTAAACACCAGTTGATAAAGGCAGCTTTGACGTTGCCCTTCTTGCGAGCTCGATCTGGGCGTGCGGATGTGGGCGCCGAGGCAGCCCGCGTGGAGCGAGATGGCCGTCGAGGGCGAGTCGATCCCGGTGGCGGTCGTGCGTCGCATGCTATTGGGGCTTGAGCATATAAGTTGGCAGCATAATCTTGTTAAGTCTACGGAGACGAATCGATTTTTCATTGAGAATCGATGTTCAGTGCCAGGTCGTGAAGATCGAGATGCAAAGGAGCAGCCGCTGTACAAGGCGGTCAAGGACGGGGACGTCCCCATGGTGAAGGCACTCGTTGCGGTGGGGTTTGACATGGAGGTGGTGGATGGAAGTACCGGACGACCATATTCTGCCCTCAACGCCGCGGCGTTCCACGGGCATGTCGACGTCGTGCGCGTCTTGCTCGCTGCGGGCGGGGACCCGGACCCCGCTACTGGATTGGACCCCGCTACTGGATACCCGGAACTGACGCCCCTCGACTATGCGGCGCGTGAAGGGCACATGGACGTCATGCGTGTGCTGCTCGAAGCTGGCGCGAACGCGGATATGTCTCTGTGCTTCGCAGTTCGAGGTGGACATTTTGCCGCAATTCAAGTTCTACTGGACGCCGGCGCAGATGTCGGCGAGGCCGCGGACGGCTCGGAGAGCGATTCCGACGTCGATGGCGGCGTGAGCCTCCCGGACGAGCCTCAAATTCTCTCGGTAGCCGTCGAGTACGGCCACCGCAACTGCCTCGCGCCGCTGCTCCGAGCTGGCGCGACCTTCGACGATGAATTGTATGGAGCGTTTCGAAACCCAACAGAAGAACAAGCATCCGCCCTTCGCTACCTCAAGCGCGTCCAGGATGCCGGCGGCTACGACCAGCTCGTGCAAAAGTACCGCCGTGTCCTCACGGCGCCCCAGAGCTGCCTCTCCTGGTACCTCAAATTCCACTGTGAGATGCGCTTCCGCCTCGGCGCGTTTCCGACCAGACCCGTGGCACTGGTGCTCGAATTCTGGAAGCCGCCGGGCGGCCCGTGACATATCCCGCTGCTCAAGGGATATGTTAAGCGCCACTTCAAGTGCCGAAGTGGCGTTTAACATATCCCGCCGACTTAAGCTTCGATGCCCGAAAATTACGGATCCCTACCGGAGGAGGCTGTGGGTCGTGTCGAAGACGGCGGCGTCGGCCGCCGCCGCGGCGTCGGGCGCGGGCCGCGTCATCGTGAGGTCGTCCATGAGGTCCGTGAGCTCCTCGCCGCGCGACGTCGCGCGGCGCGTCGACGCGAGGAGCTTCGCCGTGTTCTTCTTCAGGTTGGACCAGCACTGGTCCGCGAGCGTGGAGAACTCCTTGGAGCCCTCGATGAGCAGGGAGTAGTTCGAGCTCACGGCGCGGCCGCCGGCCCAGCGCGCCTCGCCGCCCGCGGAGCCCGCGCAGGTGCCGTGGCCCGCGTTTGTCGCGCGCGGCACGGTGCGCTCGAGCGTCGACCGCATGACCCGGAAGCCGGCGAGGGCGCGCTGGGGCGCCGCGTCGGCGGCGAGCGCGAGCGCGTCCGCGTCCGCGGGACCGGCGCCGCGCGCGGACCGCCGCGGCTTGAGCGCGAGGTCGATGCCCGGGATGTCCTCCGAGCCGCCGCCGGGCGTCGCCGACACGAGCAGCGCCGCCCGGAGCACGGCGTCGTGGAACTCCTCCAACGTCAGCCCGCCGAGCTCGTCCGCGGCCTCGACGGCGACGGAGTCGACGAAGATCGCGGACACCGCGTCCGGGCCCAGCCGATCCGCGAAGGCGAAGGTCGCCGCGAAGCCCGCCCAGCCGGCGAAGGTCAGCGACTGCTGCATGCGGTCCACGTCCTCCCGGGCCCCGTGGCGCCGGAGGACTTTCGTCTCGAAGGTCGTAGGAGCCGTGGCGAAGAACGCGAAGACCTTGGCCAGGCACGGCGCGAAGGCGTCGAGCACCGCGGCGCAGGCCGCCCGCGCCCCGGCGATGGGCGCCGCCGACCGCGTGGGCCAGCGGGGCGCGAGGCGGTCCACGAAGCGCACGAACGCCGCGCTCGGCCGGAGCTCGGGCTCCAGGCGGCACGCGACGACGCAGAGGGCCCTCTTAAAGGCGCTGTACGTGAAGCAGCGCCTCTCGTGCTTCGCCGTCTCCGCGTAGTAGACCAGCGTCGCCTGGGCGCCGTCGAGGCCGCTGCCGCGGAGGAGCTTGAGCCACTCGCGTTTTTGGACCGTGCCCACGACCTCGCAGCGGCTGATCGTCGCGCCGCGCAGCGCCGCGCGCACGTAGACGGGCCAGAGCACCTTGTTGATCTCGTCCATGTCCACCGTCGTCTTCGACGGCGACGCGAAGACGCTCATGGCGGCGGAGCAGCACGCAAAAAAAACGTTTTCACGCACCCATGCGATGCCGGCGTTAGGCCAGTGGTGCCCTGCAACACCTTATCGTTGATGCCCGCTTGCAGTACCCGCATGACACCCGCCGCGGCGGCGTGCGAGAGCTCGGAGCTATCACCCGCCTTAACACTCCCCGCTTAATGCGCGTCGACGGCGCGCCGCCCCCCGAGCGCAAACGACCGCGGGCTCAGCGGAGGAAGCTCGAGGCCTCGAGGCCCTTGAAGTACTTGACGGTCTTGACGCGGAGCTCGAAGGTGGCGTCCTCGTCGCAGGCGAAGGTCACCTCCGGGTGCTGCTGGAGCATGGACACGGGGAACATGTGGTTGATGCCGTGCTCGAGGCACCGCTCGAGCGCGTACGCGCGGTGCACGGACGCGAAGAGCACGAGCACGCGGCGCGCGCCCATGATCGTGCCGACGCCCACGGTGAGCGCCACGGACGGCACGTCCCCGACGGGGCACTGCCAGCGCTCCGCGAGCTGCGACTTCGTGTCGTGGGCTAAAGTTTTGGGCCGCGTCCGCGACTTGAGCGAGGACCCGGGCTCGTTGCGCGCGACGTGGCCGTCGCCGCCCGTGGAGCAGAAGACGAGGTCGAAGCCGCCCGCCGCGGCGATCTTCGCCTCGTAGGCCGCGCACTCGTCGGCCCAGGCCTCGCGGTCCACGCCGCCGTCGAGGACGTGGAGGTTCTCGCGCTTGATGTTCACTTGCGAGGCGAAGTTGGCGTAGATGTAGTGGTGGTGGCTCCGCGCGTCGGCGACGTCGACGCCGCAGTACTCGTCGAGCACGAAGCCGACGACGTGGGCGAAGTCGACCTCGCCGCGCTTGTGCATCGTCGCGAGCGTCGCGTAGGTCTGGAGCATCGTGTTGCCCACGGGCAGCCCCAGCACGCAGGGCCTGCCCGCCTTCTTCGCCGCGTTGATCGCCGCCGCGACCTGCGACGCCGCGTAGCCCGCCAGCGAGTGCACGTCGTCGCGGATCACGAGCTTCATATCGCGGATGATGAGGGGCTGTGCTTCTCTCGTTCAAGAAGGGTGTTCAAGGAGGCGTCGTTGAACCCCTCCGGCAAACGAAGCCGCGGCTCGGCACATCACCGACAGCGTTGGCAGCAACCACTGCCTGCCAGAGCTGCATGTTGGCGTCGCGCCTGTCCCGGCAGCTGCTGTCGCGCGTCTCGGCGCGGAGGCTCAGCGGCGAGGCCATGCAGCTCAAGGTGGGCATCGTCGGCGCCGGCGCCGTCGGCACCTATTTCGGCGTGCGCCTCGCGGAGCTGGGCCACGACGTGCGGTTCCTGCTGAACCCCGGCGAGGCGCCGCCGAAGGCGCTCACGGTCAACTCCTGGCAGGGCGACTTCGAGCTCGACGCGCCGACCTACGCGTCGTCGCCCGGCGAGCTCGCGGCGGCGGGCGAGGCGCTCGACTGGGTGCTCGTGGGCCTCAAGTCGACGGCGCTCGACGGCGACGGCGCGGGCCAGATGGCGAGGCTCGTCGGCCCCGCCGTCGGCGACGGCACGCGCGTCCAGCTGCTCATGAACGGCCTCGGCGCCGAGGAGCTCGCGGCGGACGCGTTCGGCGCGTCGAAAATCCACGGCGGCCTCGTCTACGGCGGCTTCGGCCGGCCGGCGCCGGACGCCGTGCTCCACGAGGGCATGGCCACGGAGCTGCGGGGCGGCTCCTTCGTCGACGACCCGGCGGAGATCGCCGCCGCGGAGCGGCTCTGGAGCCCCGCGGCCGGCGGCGTCAAGCCGCCGGGCGCGATTGTGTACGCGCCCCAGCCGTGCCTGCGCCTCGCCCAGTGGTCCAAGCTCGCCTGGAACATCCCCTTCAACGGCGCGACGGTGTGCTCGAACTCGAACGTGGGGACGCTCTGGCGGAGCGACGGCGGCAAGGCCGCGGCGATCGGCCTCATGCGCGAGGTCATCCGCGCCGCGAACGCGGATCTGGCGCACGCGGGCGCGGAGCCGCGCCTCGACGAGGAGGCGACGGTCGACGCGCTCTGCGCCATCACGGA